CCCCCATGGGCCCTTTCCCAGCCCTCCGAGACTTGGCCCGTGCGCCACAAGCTTTCAAATATTCCCGCCAGTGGCTGTGCATTGATGTCGGCCAGTGCCTTCAGCACCCTCGGATGGAGCTCATCCGGGCCTGCCGACTTAGGCTTCCAGTTCTCCCAAGTGACTCTGCACCGTCTCAGGGTCTAAGCGTGGAAGTCTGGCGCCTTGCTGCTGCCTCTCCACAACCCCAGTGAGAGACTTGTCGTGCCCCTCGCTTAGGAACACCGAGGCAAAGAACTCGTTGAGGAGTTCAGCCTTGTCCCCCCTGTCCGTCACCAATTGTTTCTGCCCATTTAGCAGGGGTCCTATTCCTCCCTGGGCCTTCCTTTTACTCCCTATATATCTAAAAAACAATTTCTCATTGTCCTATACTTGGGATGCCATCCTCAGCTCCATGGTAGCTTTGGCCCGTCTAACTGCCTCCCTACAAGCACGAGCAGAGGAGGTATATTTGTCTTTGGTGGTCTCTCCCTGTTTCCACCTTTTATGTGCTCCCCTTTTGGCCCTTAGACTGCCCTGGATTTCTCTTAAAATCCAGGATTTTAAGTCTTGAGAACTGGCTGTTTCTGACTAGCAGTTTCAGTCTTCTGCTTGGGAGAGCTGAGGTGTGGTGGGGCAGTGCTCTAAGCTACATCTGTCAGGCTACATTCTCCAGGTAGGGTCTATGTAGCCCAAGAGCTCTTGGCATAGGAGGACTCTAAGTAGAAAATTCTGCCTGGAATTTGGCCCTGAATCCTTCTGACGTCTGTGTCTATTCTGCATACAACACTGTTCATAGAATCCCACTGTTGGGCTGGAAAGGGACTTCAGGGTGCCGTCTTGTCTAGTTCCCTGCTCAAGGTAGGTTCATTCCTGGCTAAATCATTCCAGCCAAGTGTCTATCTAACCTGCTCTTAATTCCCAAGGCTTGAGATTCCATAACCTTCTAGGTGGCCTGTTTCAATGCTTGACAACCCCCATAGTCAGAAAGTTCTTCATAATCTCCAGTCCTGAGTACATCATTCTCAGTCCTGTCCCCTATGACATATATGTAGACATAATCAGACTAGTTGTAAATCTAGGCCTTCTGTGCAGGGCAAATTAGCCTGCCCAAGAGCTGTTATGACTAGACTACTTCAGGTACCTAAAGGATTTCTACACTAACTCTAACCAGCTCTCCTTGTCTACATGGCACACTAGAGTGATGCTGGCCAGTAGGCATAAAACATTGCTCTAGATTTATCCCTAGGGTTAGGGACATTTGGAGACTGTTCTGCAGGTGGGAGGGAAGCTTGGGGTGGGGTAGGGAGCTTGAGTGATGGTGCAGAGAGACTTGAGAAACCTGCTGAGGCAGGGAAGCCAGACCAACAGGGTAAATGGAAATTCCAGAAGGTAGGTGAGTTGAGTATGAGGAATTAAGAATAGGTGATGGTATAGATTTGAAATTTGGGGATGGGTCATCATTGAATATGCAAATTGAACTCATTTGCATAGGCTCTACAAAGCTGTGCTAACAGCAGACATGACTGTAGCACCTGACAAACCATCACATCACGGTGAGTGAAAAGTAGCCATATAGTTGTAGAGAAAAGAGGAAAGCAGCTGCCTCCCTTCAATCAGTCCTCCTATTTAGCTGGGTCCTTCTGCATTAATCATCAGCTCCCTATTCACCCCTGAAAAAGTGCCTCCCTCCTTGAGGCCTTGTAACAGTGGTTTTGGCTTTAGAATCGCTAGACGAACGTTTTGTGTGTCCATGTAGAGATCCTATTTGCATTTTGTGAACAAGGGAAACAGTAGTATCCATAAAATCCAGATGATACAAACTACAGTAGCCCTGAATCAATTCTAACTAGCAACTGCTATGCTTTTAGAGACATTCTCCAAGAGCAGAGACATTTCAGGAGGAATTAATCGATATCCTGGCCACTTCCTAATATTTTTATTTTTATTTTTTGACTTGATCCCTGCAGTTCCTCTGGGATGCCAGATTTGTATAGACTGATTTTATTAGGATAATGCAGAGTTCTTTCACATTTTAGATGAGCCATTTGAAAATTGTGAGTTATAAGCCATTTGATGTTAAAAATTGAACCCTAAATTGGCTACTCTAGTACCTTGCAGTATTACCAAGAATGTGTTGGCATATAAACTTAGAGTATAAAATTGCGGGTAGTATTTTAGGGGAGGAGCAATGACTAGTTAAAGCTGAATTTTCCTTTCCATTCCCAGCTCTAGTTATTTATTGCTTCTTGAAGTTTTCAGATTTTTGACTGAAATTCAATAGGCTTTGATGCTTCCCAAAAGGTGAAGTTGTTGCTGCTGTGTAGATTTTTTTTTTTTTTTTTTTTTTTTAAAGGGTGGAAAATGGGGTAAAAAATTTGAGCAGAAACAATTCAGCCCTTTTTGAATATCAGGAGGAGGGACTTTACCAAAGAAACAAGGATGTTTACGTTCTTAAAAAAAATCACAGCCCGTTTGTCTGGCAGGTGAAAAGTGAAATTTATCATGGAAACTGGCTTGTTTTGAGAAGTTTGGTCTGAAGCATGTAGCATCTACTGCTGGATTTAGCTTTTAGAAAGCTATGCAGGCCATGTCCATCTAAGGTCACTCAGGTACCTGTGTCTAGCTATGCTGGTGTGGCATTCCCCTGGTCTAATTTGGCTGGTTTCTTGTTCAGAGCTAGCCCGGATGTCTCCCTACAGAACTGTGTTGTACTCAGTAGATGTACCCATTGGTAGAAGTATTCAGTAATGTCGAAAAGATCCACTGTAAAACATTTATGGAGTGTGAATCTCTGTTTCATATAGAACTTGTGTAATGGAACTCCAGGCTTTCACAGAAATAAATTATAACAGAATATGTACAGGAGAATTTTCCTTCCTTTGAAAAACATTGGTAAAAGTGGAGCAAATCTATCAACTTTGGCTGGATTTCTTGAATATATTCCTTTTTTTTCCTCATTTTTCAGGTGACAGAAACAGATAAATTGCAAGATCCTGCGTGTGTGGAAGCATCCAAAGAGAACAGCCAAAGTCCAAATATGGGGAGTGGCATATTGAAATACAGAAGCCGATCCCAAGGTAAAGCGGTTAATAAAGATATGAATAAAAGAATTGGTGATATTGCAGAGTTTTGCTTATCATGAAACACAGACTCGGCCTAAAACCCAATTCAGCAGAGCGAGGCCTTCTTGATGTTGGCCCTCCAGATTAGCTTGGTTTGGATATGGAATTTGAACTGCATGGTGTTTGCATTCAACAAAGCTTCCTGAGCTGAATCTTTTTATTGGCAGAACAAGGAAGCAAAATAGCTGTGTTTGTCTTTCCCTACATTTGAATTTCCAGTGTGTTTGTTTTGGTTTATTTCAATAGACTGAGGGGGCCTTTTCAACATGCTATCGTGGTCTCAATAGAATATTCATTAAGGCAAAATACTTGTAGTTATTTGTTGCTGTTCCATGAATTTCTGAGAAAAAAACTAATTCCAGGAACCTGACCAGAAACTGTGTGCAAAAGATACAACTCCTTTTACAGGAACTCCCAACACTTCAATCGGTCAGAGTACTTGTACATCCCCCTGCAGTTTGGGGACTGATCACTGCTCTAATTACCTAGCTCTCCATCCATCCATGTGGCTTTAAAGTCCCTAGGTATTTCAGTGCAATGTGTGCACAGTTCTTCTGAAGCCAATGTTTATTTTGTTGTTAAAATGCCTATCACCTAGAACCAGGCTTAGCTGCTACTGCTCAGGCTGAGCACTGCAGCATGTGAATGGTGTTTCTGAAGTCAGTAATATGGTTCTGAGTGAAAGGCACTGCTCAAGTGGCAGACACCCTCAATCCTGCCTGGCACCTGGTTGATAATGTCACCAGAGTGGCAGTGGAGGGAGCAGACAGGAAGGAAAAGTCACCCAGGGCACTAGCCTGGAATTCTTGAAACCTGAGTTCCATGAACGATTTGCAAGACCTTGGGGAGTGACTTCCTTCTGGATCCACAAGGCTGTGGCTTCCAGAGAGGGTATATCAACACTGCACCCCCACAGTTGTCAGGAAGGGGCATTACACCCTACTCCCATTTGCATGCAATGAAAAATGGAAATGTGATAGTGGAACCGCTCCAGGAATGCTCCCCATTGCCACTCAAGCAAGCTAGGACAGAGGTCTCATTGGCACTGTACCTATCTAGGGAACTTTGCTGGTGAAAACTTAGGGAGAATTTATGTACTGGAGACTAAGTTGTACACTTGGCACACAAATCCTTTTTTAGATCTGGCCACCTCACTTCTCCATGTCTAAAACAGGAGTAATAGTACTTCTGTACCTGACAGAAGGGTGTCATCAGGGTAAGACTGAGGTGCTCAGAATACTGCAATGGGTGTCATGTAACTACATAAGAGAATGAAAAAATAAGTTGCTGAAGTTCTAGTGGAGGTATATTGATCATAAGCTTGTAAAGCTGGGATCCCCTGTGATTAACTACAGGATGTGCTTCAAGAGAAATGGTTCAGTATCTTCCTTGAACTCTGTATTCCCTCCTTTTTTATGGCAACTAGGACTGCTGTCAGCAAAGAAGGCCAATCACAATTTTTGGCGCACAGTTTCTCCTTCCATTCCTGGCGCACAACTCTCAGGATGACCTGACTCTTTCAGAAAGGAAAGCAGCTAGTGTCAGTTCTTTAAACTTTATACGAATGAAGCCTGTGGGCTTTGCTCGTCATCAGGTGCCTTTCTGAAAGATCAGCTGGATTCTTGCTTGCACTCTCAGGGCTGCCAGCTCAATGATCTTCTCATTGTGTTTACTGCAGCCACCCACCATATCTAACATGTCAGTCAGCCAAAAAACATGTGAAAACCTTTGTCAGCCTAAGATCAAGAAATAGGAAGAGTCCTGCATCTTTTAAATTGCAATGCACTTGGCTAATTGAAAATGAGCAAGTAAAACTCTTCATTGGGAGATTACAGAGTTTACCAATTGAATGTTGTCTGCATTATTTAATGTATTGTTTGATTTGTGATTTGCAACAGGCACCCATCATCCAACTTCTTTGAATTAAAAGATGCAGTTCTGTGTTTTATGCATTGTACCGTAGGAGCTGGGTCTCGCTTAGAATCTGTGGGCGAAGATGATGAACTGACAGTGGAAAATGGTGAATCCAGCTATGAAATAGCAGTGAAATTTTCCCGCGGAGGGAGAAAACATTCTCTTCCTCAGCAGCTTGAAGGAGCAGGATCTCGGCAGGTGAGAACATAAAGTAATGTATCTGATGAGAATTTAAGCAGGTTCTTGGGCTCCAACTCTGTTTTGAGAGGTTTTTTATCAAACTGTTAGGAATAACTGTGGTGACCTGTGGCTGCATACATATGGCAAGAGGGAGTGAACCCAGATCTTGGTATCAAAGCACAATAAGGACCTAGGGCAAGATTTCCCTTTGTGCATCTAAATGACAATTTTATAGCCATTTACCCATTTACCTCATTGTCTTTGGCCAAGGCTTTATGGTGTGGATAGGCAAGTATGCACATGTAAACTGAACATGAGGCTTTGTATGTATGTGCATAACAGAGTGTAAATCCTGGAAAAATGTTGGAGGTGCGGGGAAGAGGAAAAAGAGCCCTCCCACGTTTCAGCCCTAATAACTAAATGGCAAGGTAATCACCCAGGATGCCAGAGGTGTGGGTTCTAGGTCTCCCTCATCCAGAGGGTGTTTGAACCCATGTCTCTGCTCTCCCACCGTAGTGCTGTAACCACCATGTCAGAGACTAGGCATTATCCAGACCCCTCTCCAGGGCACTTCTGAGGCTGGGCCACTGCCCCTTGTACTTAGTAATCATTGGCTGAAATGGATGGAGGGCAATGCAGTAGGGATGTGGGAATAAAGATCCACACTAGAATCCAGGACCCGCACTTCTCTAAACTGCCTTCTCACTGAGCCAGGCCCTCTAGCTTATACTCTTCCTGCTGGTTACATATATCATCCTGTCTTTGCTGCTTAGGGGCCCAGCTTCAAAAGAAGGACTGGAGAGGAGCTTGTGCCTTCACGGGGGCATGTTGGGAAGCCAGAGAAGCAGACTGAAAGCCCCTCTGGGCCAGGGAGCCTAGAATCCATGTCTCTGGCTTCCTGAGCAAATGCTCCAACCTCTCATCTAGTGGGGCTATAACGTGGGAAGGCTGCTCTCCTCCAGAGTGTAAGACAGGGGTGGGCAATTATTTTGGCTGGAGGGCCGCTTAACGAGTTTTGTTGAGCTGTCGAGAGCTGCATGGGTAACCCCTCCCCTGGACAGTTGTCCTGCCCCCTGATTGCCACCTTGTGACCGGAAGTCCCGCTCCCTGGCCTTTACCACCAGAAGTCCCTCCCCTTGCCCCAGAAGTGCTCCTTTTAGGAGGTGCCAGGGTTGCCATCTTGAAACTAGAAAAAAACCCCAAATCATATGCTAAAGAAGTCAGATATCTATTGTAACTTATTTTATTTAAAAAAATATTTTTGTCCTGAGTTATGTTTGCAGTGTATCTAGAGGCAATTGCATAACAGCTCAATACACTCTTACTCTTGTATATTGTGTGGGGGGGGGATAAGGGAGTGTATGTGAGAGCTGTTTGGTTGGAGAGTGGGTATGAAGCTGTGGTGGGGTCTGAATGTGAGGTATGCATATGGCAAGTGAGGGTGTGTGGAGGGATGTGGATGTAGGGTATGTGTTTGGGGTGGGGGGGATGTGGGAAGATGTGGGTATGGGTATGGTAAGGTGGTAGGAGTGTGTGTGGGAGGGTGGGAGTGTGTTGGGGGTACAGTGGGAAGTGGGGAGCCAGCCCCACCCATCCTGTCCTCATTGCAAGGCTGGGACCCATATGACACAGCACAGGGCCAGCCCTGCCCAACCTGACACAACGCAGTTCCGGCTGCAAGGCTGGGGACTGCACAGAGCCAGCCTGGTCCAGCTCAGCTCCTCAGTGCTGCACTACATGGGTCCCAGCCTTGCAGCTTGGAACTGCATGCCGCAGCTTGGACATGCCAGGCCAGGCTGGCTCCATGCAGGTGCCAGCCTTGCAGCTGGAACCGCATGCTGCTGGGAGGGGATGGGACGGGCTGGGCTGGCTCTGATGCAGTCTAGCCATGGCGGCACACTGCCTCCTGCCACATTGTCCTCAGTCTCCTATGCAGAACCCTGAGACCTGTCGTGGAACCCTGGGGTTCCATGGGACACACTTGGAAAACCACTGTCATACAGGGCTAAAAAGTGGTTGTAGAGGTCTGAACATTTAAACCAGCAGTACTTGTGTTTGTTTTAGTTACTGATAGTGTTGCATTTCTTCAGAAGATCCAGCTTTAAGAGATCCTGGAACTAAATGTTACACTTTCTTGGTTTATTTTTTTTAATTTTTAACTATCCTGTGATAGAAGATGTTAAATAGATCCATGATGTAGAGCCAATTTCAGAACTCAACTTGAGTGCTGTGGGGCCAGGATGTCATGCCCTGTGAGTCTGTTTTAATGTGCAATAGTGATTTTGTTTGTTTGTTTTGTTCCGGCCCCTGGGTATACTAGAGTTGTCCTATCCAGTACCTTTATTTGCCTGTATCATGCAATCAGAATGAACTACCTCTGTTTTCTGATGTTTGCTAGGATTACCATATTGTGAAGAAATCTACCCGCTCTTTGAGTGCTGCCCAGGTGGAATCTCCTTGGAGACTGACCCAGCCTTCCATTATTTCCAACATTGTCCTAATGAAAGGGCAAGGGAAGGTGAGGATTTTGCACAAGTGTATTTTCTCAAAGCACAGCAAGGTTATTTGTCAAGAGGTGCTGACTTACCTACCCCCTCTGCTCTCATAGACTCTCCACACCTGTAAAAGTCAAACTATGGATGTTTGTTAAAGTAAAACTCATATATAGTGGTTTTACTGTCTAAGACAGCCAATCAAAATCCCCTCTAAGAGGCAGGTTTCCAAATGTAAATACCTAAGTGGTGCCTAGACATTATGAAAGTGCAGACAATAGAAATATAAGATGCTAATAATGAGTACATGTTATAACTATGCAAGTGAATATGCAAAAGTGTACTTGTTTGCATACATAGTAACCTACTGTACCCAAACAACAGATCTGATTATATTGCACACATCTATCTGGAATCTGAGTACATTAAAATTGTAGCAAGTTTAAATGTCAGATATAAGACTAGAATCTAGGTTTGTGTTCTTTTTGTGAAGTGTCATGTTTGCATATACGTGCAAGGTTTTTTTGTTTTTGTTTTTTTTTTTAGAATAATTTATTGGGGTATCTTAGGCCCTATCAGTAAATTTGCCCCCTATGCAATACTGGTGTAAAAATGGTCTACACTACCATTTCACAGGTTTCACAGGCTTTCTGTGAGCACAACCTTGCATGCATGCACTCTCAGGTTTGAGTCTTGCTGAATCTTGTGAAGCTGCTTGGTCCAAGAGAAGTCTCAGCTTTCCTTGAAAGGAAGGGCAGCACACGTCCAGCTATAATGTTCTTGAAGATGATATTTACTCCACTGCAATGCATGAATTGCAGAAGCTGGTATACCAAAGGGATGAGCACCAGTGTCAGACTAAGAGGAAGGAACTGATGGTCCTACCCAAAAGGCACAAAGGACCTCAACAAACAGTTTGCTGCTGCTATCATGTGCTGCTTGATGCCTCAACAGACTGGGAATCCCAGCATCAGCCCATAGGGGACAATGTGGGAAGGCATCTCAGAACTGCATAATTGTTGAGAACTCCTTGATGTTAGGGACATGGAGGGATGCTGAGACCACCAGAGATCTTTGAGATCTAGCAGAACCTGAGCCAGCTGAATTTTGAGAGAGACCCAGACAAAATGGGACTTCGACAGGTGTAGGTGACTGCTACAGTCAGTGAATACTTCTTTCTTCATGGCCCTGACATTTCATCCTCCCTCTTTGTTCCTTTATTCCTTGTTTCAAAATGGTGGCAGACTATACACAGGCAGGGAATGAAGGGATTCTCTTTTTAGAAGTGGCTGTTGTATTTTAAGAGCATGTACTAGAACTGTTTTTAAGTCCAAATCATACAAACAAAAAAATACACAGAATACAGCGTAACACCAAATAGCATTTCCAAATACATGCTCTAGTTCAGGGGTGGGCAGTTATTTGGGCCTGAGGGTCATTCGAAGAGTTTTGATGAGCTGTCACGGGCTAGGACAGCATAACCCCAGAACAGCTTACCGAAACTCTTGAAGTGGCTCTGCTCTGTGCTTGGCCGCGTGGCTGGGATGGAGCCATAGGCGGGTGAGAAGGGGCATCTGGGAGTGGGATGGTTGACCGGGACAGGTGTGCAGTGCTCAGGATGGGATCTTGGGGCAATGACACACAGAACCAGTGCTTGTTGCAGGGATATGCCAGCCGTGGATCATGGCTCTACCCGAAGCCTCGGTCCTAAAATATCACTGATCTGTGATCCTGCCCCGTGATCCCAGGCCTGCCCACCTGTTCCACTCCCAGACACAGCTTTAGGCCGGACAAAAACCTTTGGCAGGCTGGATGCAGCCGGCAGGCTGTATTTTGCCCACCCCTGCGCTTGTAGAACCTTTTTGGTTCAAAATAGAAACTTGCAAGCAAAAGAAAAACAGTAAAATTTAAAACAACGGATTCAAATCTGGAAAAGGAATGCAGACAACTAATACATGAGCTTTCAAATTAAATACATCAGAATATAAAAAATGCTTGCAGTCAGTCCAATAACAAAGCACTCAAATTGCATGATTTTGCAGAAATCCTGTTGAAAACTTATTAAAGGAAGGTTTTCTGGTCCAAAATGTAGAATTTTGATTTTAAGTTAAAAAATCAAAATACAAAAGAATTGAATGTGCTGTGTTTAGATTCAGGGAAAAGGCAAAAACAGGCTCTGGCTGAGGGGATTTTGGCTTGTGCCAACTCTCAGAACTAGCCAGTTACAATAACACTTCTCCCCTTACAAACTCGTGGTTTATTATAGCGTGCACATGCTTTGTGCCCTCGGGCACAATTTTTCTGAAATATTTCAAACAAATATTGTTGGATCATGTTTTGCATAAAAGCAGTCTTGTTTCTCCCACTCTGGTAAGACATCTTCACCTGCCATTCTGTAATGGGTTTCAGGGGGTACCGTCATTGTGAAGAGGTTAGTAGGGTACTCAGCATGAGTGACCTTGTTTTCTTTCTCTGGGCGTCTGACATGCTTCTGAGTAATTATGTCTGGCAGGATAAGCAGTGCCTGTAAGAAAGTTAGTAGTTAACTATCACTGCACACAGACCCCCTCCCCAGCCCTCATAGCTGGAGTGTTTGAAAAGGATTTCCAAATACTGTACTGTGGATTTCCATATACAGTGTGTTTGTATGACCCTGAAGTCAGTGGTAGGGAGAGTGAGCTTTATTTGCGTTTTTAGGCAGATCTGTACAGGAAACATTTAAGGGAACTGTAGCATTTATCTCTGCTAAACCCCCTTATCTACCAAATCCTTGCCTGGTTATTTATCAGTGAACCTGGCAGGCATATTCTTGAGGGCCGCTTCTCTACACCTGGTGAAATAATGACTAAGCTAAGGAGGAAAAAGAAACATGCATGGGAGAACATGTTCTTGGTGCTGCTACAGAGTTCTGAGTCTGTAGCCCATGAAACAAGGATGCATGTAGGGTATGCGTGCTGAAGCAAAGGCAGAAGGACCAAGAGAGACACTAAGAAGGGCACCAAGACACATGCTTCTCACATGACAAACCCGAAGTATTATGGAATGAAGTGTTGGAAGGGCTCTGTCCTGACCGCTATTATATTTGGAGAAGAAATCCTTCTTCCTGGGGAGAGAGTCGTGTGTCCCACCCCGGCTTCCTAGTACCATCTCTGCAACAATATCTCTTCTCAGCCCCAGGGCACTGTAAAGAAGAACTGCTCTGAGAATGGGGACGCTGAGATGTGCTGTAGCTCGGAGGACTCAGCACTTGCTCTTTCTTTGATTTTTTTTTTTTTTTTAAATGATGTTTGTAGATTATTATTGTGCAATAAAGTTCTGTTTTGTGAAAACCATGCATTATTTCCTCTGTCTGACAAGTGAGGGGTATAACCCTCTCCCCCGGATAACATCCGTTTCATAAAAGTTCATAACGCTTCTTAGCCTAGCAATCTGCTGTATATTCAGAGTAACACAAAGCCATACACAGTCTGGCCATGGTATGCTGTCAGTATATGCTCTTAAATCCTTCCTTAGTTGGACAGTGTCCCCTCCAGTAAGCTCCAGTAATTGCCCTTGTGTCAATGCTACTTATTATTAGGGCCTCAGCAGGCAGTCTTTCTGTTTCCATCCTCCACTCTGCTGATAAGTTTCCCTTGGTCTTACAAGTATTTCAGTGCAGTAACAATGAGGAATATTTGAATCACCAACATTCAGCTGAATCACTCATAAAGCATCACTGCTGTCTGTCTTACCTCCTAAATACATGCTCCACAGTGGTCTCTCAGCTCCTCAGATAATAGTTCAAGCTTTTCTTGCTTTGTGTTTGGTTTTGAGTCAGGGAGGTGAAACGTAGACCTGATTCTTGAGAATAGTGATAGCACTGGTGCGGTTCCAATACCAAATATGCCAGTCCTGGGAAAAGGTCTGTGCTTGCAGCTTTTCAAAAAGCCCCATGTTTCTGTGGCCTCTCTACATTCATCTCAATGAAACAGCCCTTGTGATCCACCAACCCTTGCAAGTCCGTGAAAAAGTACTCCTTTCAGTTTACATGAGCCAAGAATGGCAGAGGGAGAATCAAAAGATACGTCCCATCTATTCCACCCCAGTTCTGGGAGCTCAGTTCATTGAATCCCTCTTGGCTCCAACCTATTGCCCAGAGCCGGTCCTGTGCAGTGCTATGCACTGAATAGTTTTGCACACCTGGAGGATGACAGCCACCCACTGGAGATTTTTCCAACACCAAGCTCATTGCTCACCAACTGACAGTAATTCAGTGTTGCAAGCTTTGAGCAAAAGTGCCACACACTCCTCCATTGTCAAAACAGCTATCATTTTGTTACATCCATGCTGGAGGGCAAGGGCGAGTTCAGCACACAGCTCCAGCAACACAGCCTTTTGCATCCAAATGTTTTGTAGCCGCTAACGATTGTCATAGTTTGCATCACTATCTGATCCCAGCACTAGCTGCTTGTTTCCCTGGCCTAGAATACCTCTTCACTTTGTATGGCTGGCCAGTGAATGTCTGCAGCACCTGGCAGCTGTCATTCACTGTAGGCATCATCCACTCTTCCACGGTTTTCTTGTGGGATAGCTGTTATCCCAGTAGTTCAGAAGAATCTTTTGCCCTGCATTTAAAGTAGATGTGAGGCCTTTCTCGATCTGTCCAATGGCCCTGTTATGACAATGAGCTGTGGAGGAAAGTAGTGTGAAGAAGAGTGGGTTTAGGGGATGGACAAGAGGGAGCTATGAGTTTCTGAAAGCTGCACAGAAAACAGTATGTTACAGGGTGGAATAGTGGGAATTTAAACCCAAGTTTCCACAGTTCCCTGAAAGAAGCACTGGTATCCCACCACATACTTCACTCTAGCAACATAGCAAAGTGGCAAGTAAAACTTTCCAAGGTAGCCATCATCCAACTTGCAGAATAGAATTTTGCTTGGCTGTATTTTTTATGAAGTAATAATTCATAGATTCATAGACGTTTGGGCTGGAAGGGACCCCAGAGGATCATAGAGTCCAGCCTCCTGCCCCAGGGGCAGGAAGTCAGCAGGGATCATAGGATCCCAGCAAGATAAACATCCAAATGTATCTTGAAGGCATTCAAAGTAGGTGCTTGAACCATCTCCGGCGGCAGCCTATTCCAAACCTTGGGGGCTCGGACAGTAAAGTTCTTCCTTGTGTCCAGCCTGAATCGGTCGTGGCGGAGTTTGTGACCATTCGATCTTGTCATCCCTTGGAGCGCTCTGGTGAACAGATGTTCCCCCAGATCCTGGTGAACACCCCTGATAAACTTGTAGGTGGCCATCAGATCACCCCTGAGCCTGCATTTTTCCAGACTGAAGAGCCCCATGGCTCTCAGCCTCTCATCATAAGGTCCATTTTCCTGACCTCTGATCATGCGCATGGCTCTCCGCTGCACTCTCTCAAGCTTCTCCACATCCTTTTTGAATTGTGGAGCCCAAAACTGGACTCAGTACTCCAGCTGCGGCCTCACCAAGTCTGAGTACAAGGGGAGAATGATGTCCCAGGATTTGCTTTAGAAGCATCTATGGATGCAAGCCAGCGTTTTGCTCGCTTTACTAGCCGCAGCATCACATTGAAGGCTCAGGTTCGAAAGAGTTATGCATGGGAGTAATTCCCTTTAGAATTAATATAAGTTTCATATATTCACATAAAAGGAATAGACATTCCTTTTACCTATATTTCCATAAATATGAAATTCTGTTTCTTAAAGTAATTAAACACACACACTTGCATGAACGTAGCCACATTCCTACCATTATACTCCTGACCTTATGTCATGTTTTGAAACTTCTCCTTTTCCTGAGGAAATCTGCCAGCAGAACAAATTGCAGCTAATCCTGTGGATGGATCCCTTGAGAAGGAGTTCCATGAGCCATCAAGTTTAGAGATTTACAGTAGGGGTTCAAGCAGCAAAACAGAATAACATGAAACCTCAAACTCAGAGTAATATGATAACATAAAATGTTACTTTCCCTTATTTTAAGGTGATTACTACTGCTATTTTCAGGCTGAGTTAATGTGTTGATATTAGAGTGAAAGTAGTTCAGGAGAGGCAAGCAAAGAGTGAATCACAGCCTAATTTGTCCTCAGCATTAGACTTTCATCTTTCTTTCCTCTTGGATCTTTGCTATATTGCAAAGCTTTGGTAGCATTAGGGATAACTCTATCTGATACTATTAATCGTATAATTTTTTCTTCTTTTGTATTAGGGTCTTGGGTTCAGCATTGTGGGAGGCCAGGATTCTGCTCGAGGCCGCATGGGAATTTTCGTGAAGACTATATTCCCAAATGGGGCAGCTGCTGCTGATGGAAGACTCAAAGAAGGTATAATGAGACTCTAAGTGCATAGTGTGCTATTGGCTCAATCCATTAGAGCAAGGGTGTCAAACATACAGCCCATGGGTTAGAGCCAGCCCCCCAGTGCCACTCCTAGATCTGAATTGACCCAGATGGTCCCCACAGGGAGGACTTGGGATGCCCATTGCATGTGGCATCTGTTCCTACCCTTTGGTAATGGCAGCACACGTGGCACCAGCCCCAGGCACTCCTGAACATGGTGCCTGCTCCAGCCACTCTGGGATCCCCACTGTGCGAGGTGCCTGTAGGTGCTATATAAGGTGCCCCCTCTGGCCAGGATTCGTGCTGGATGACAGGCCTGCCTCAGGCACCGCTTGTGATGCCCATTCTGGTTGTTTTGGGATCTGCAGCACTCACTGCAGCTGGTCTGGGAGGCATGCCATGTCTGGATTTTAGAGTGGCTAAAGCAGGTGCCATAGGTGCTGCAAGGCAGAGGGAATCTGGGCTCCATGGTCCTGTGTACCGGCCCTTTTTTCATTCATTTGTCTGATTAGGCGAGATGAGCTTGACATCCCTGCATTAGAGGAGTCTGTGTCTATCCCACATAGGTACCTGGAAGCCAGCAGAAGACTACATAGTCTATGACTTCCCGCCCCCCCCCAATCCCTACCCCCCACCAAGTTGTTCAAGAGAAAGGTGGTGAGAGCTCAACCTGTACCAGGTTGCTCTGTTCCTTAGGAAAAACAGAAGAGGAATAATGGTGCAGAGCGCCTTTCTCTTTCCATCCCTAATGTCTGCACTCTGGTGTGAACACTGTTTGACAGGTCCAGAAGCCCCATATTATCATTTGGGAAGCATACTGGTACTGGTAGAGAAATATCAGTTCTCTCAACACCTGGCTTAATGGCCTTGGGTCAGAAAAGGAGTACAGGAAGGGCTATTTTTGGGAGGGGGAAGTTATGCATCTGAAAAATCCAAGAGATGCTGGTGCCGTTGTGCATGCTAGACAGTGACAATTGCACTGTGGTAAAGGTTACCCAAAGAAGACAGTAGGTTTAGAATTGTTGCCTTATGCAGCACTTCAGATGCTCTATTTTCTGCAGAAGGGCATTCTTGTGAAACCATCTTTCCTTTCTGTTACTGCCATTTCCTGCTTGTTGCACTCAAGGCTGACAATGGGGTGAAGGGGAAAGATCCATCAGAAAGGAGTTTGGTCACACATCGCAGGTGTGCACTGACCCTAGGAAGTCAAATAATCAGCAGATTTCCCCCAACCCCAAGACATTCACAGGATATTCAGAGCTTGACAGTTTATCACTAAGATTAGGGAAAGGGGGAGTTAGGAAGACTTGGCAGATGTTTGGGTACTGTTTAATTGTGCACAGATGTAGCAGTGTGTAATATTGCGGAAGACAGATCTGGATCATGCTCTCTGCCTTCCTAGAATGAAGTAGATCAACATATCTGGTTGTAGCTATTATTACCAAGAGCTTGGAAAGTGCATGTAATAGTAAACAGGCAGCTATAGCTGTAGGACTTGTTTGCTGGGATGAGGATGTCATTCCTTTTCAGCCTTCTCTGTGTGTACAGATTACTTGTCTCTTGTTATATTCAGAGCAGTAAGTAGCATGCATTAGCTTTCTCTGCAGGGATATAGAGCTAGCTTTCCCTAAATGGACTCTGACATGGCTTAACATTTTGCCCTATTGTGATTCTCAAGTCCCATTGTTTGGGAATAATGCATAGAGTCTATTGGCCACTTTTTGACTCCACAGTTTGGTGCTTCCACTCGCAAACAGTCTGATTCCAATTTAAAATCCATAATATTTTTTATTTAAATCTGTTGGAATGTAAATATGAGGTTAAGAATTGCAGCTGAACAATTCCCATGCTTTGATGTTATATCCTTGTATTAATTACAGCAAATGATAATAAATAGAAAATAGTAAAAGGTTTTTCATAAAATCAAAACCCACATGGTAGCTCATCATTGCATTAATGATAAAGGGCATTACTTTACTTGCATACTTTGTGCACTTATTGACTTGACTTTTGCATTTGATTACCAGGGGATGAAATCTTAGAAGTTAATGGAGAATCCTTACAAGGGCTGACCCATCAGGAAGCCATTCAAACATTTAAGGTAACAAAGTTAGGAATACTCAGAGTTGCTCAGTGCTTAATACAATTTGACACTACTGTGTGTTTTGCTGCTGCCAGAATTTTGTTGTGCACGTGGTTTGCTGAAAGACTTATCATTAGATGTCAAGCAAATGCACAGTATCTTGTAATAAACTCCTTTAATGTTTCTTTAGCAACTCAAGAAAGGTGTTGTGACCCTCACTGTACGCACGAGACTGCGCAGCCCAAGTCTCACCCCATGTGCAACACCCACTTTATTGAGCCGCTCCAGCTCCCCTAGCTCCAGTGCTAGCGGAGGAACCCCAGTAGCTGGCTCTGAAGATGGAGACAGTTCATCTTCATGTCGCAAGGGCCCAGGACCAAAGGACAGGATTGTCATGGATGTGACTCTCAACAAAGGTTAGAGAAAGTCTATTATGACTCACCAGTCAAACTAACCTCAAAAATAAATGCTGTCCTTTTCTCTACTACATCAGGATTTGTTTTTCAGTGAATTCCTTCATTTACATATTTGGTGAAAGCAGAAGTAATGCAATAAAGATGGGAACAATATTTGAAATACAAAGTATAAGATAAAGAGATAAAACAGATATATAGGAGTTGAAAATATTGAAAAGGGTATATGTGGCCATCACCCACTCTTTAGCCTTTCAGTAGTCTTGCTGTCAGTGCAGCAGATCTGTAGAAAGTCCTCCAGATTAACTAGCGTCAGGAGCTAGTTCAGGCAGCTGCAGCTATTCAGTAGACATTTGGTTTCCTCTGCCACACTGGAACTACATAAGGGCCTGTTCCTGAGTCCCAAGGTGAGAACACACTATAACTAATGACCACTTTCTGTGACGGGGGCCAAGCATTGGAACAATCCACCTGGAGAAGTTGTGGCATCTCCATCCCTAGAAATTTTCAAGAGCAGGTTGGACAGAAACTTGGTTGGAATGATTTAGTCCGGGATGATCCTGCTTTGAGCAGGGGGCTAAATTAGATGACCTTGTGAGGTCCCTTTCAGCCCTACTTTCCTGTGATCCTATGCCACAACTGACATGGTTGAGGTTGCAGCAGAGATTGGCATTCTCTCCTAATGTTTTATGATGAGGATGAAGTTTCTTTCCTATGAACTCTGTAAGTAGGCTAATCCTGTCATCCCAGTTCATTCTCCTATATCAGTCTAATCCCATGATTCTAGTTTGAACAAAAAATGACTGAAAAATCACCCTGTGGCTCACCATAGCCTGGAATCCATTGCAAAGCTTTCCTCTTTTAGATATGCAAAGAGCAAAATAGAGCAGGGACTGTTATGAAGAAGCAATGCTTAGGTTACCCGGGTTGGGAGACTGGGGGTTGGGTTAAGAACAGTAGAGGTGTGCACTAATTGAACTATTGGAGCTTTCTCAGTAGTTAGCACTTACAGCAGACTTTAAAAAATGACCACATTTGTCTCGTATGCTTTTGCTGCACTTAAGTCATGCAGTGTATTAAGAGGATCTATTTGAGTTCATGCAGAGTATTTTCCTGGTTTCAGAGCATAGCATGTAATGAATTTTCATTGCAGCATATAAAAAAAGGTGATGAATGCATTTCTGAAAGTTCTCAGCTTTGTCTGAGCTCAGAGCCTAGATAGAAAGTTGAAGAACAGGCTTTTCATGAGGGAGCCATTAATTCCTGCTTCTGTTAAGACTCAACTGCTGTAGTATAGGGACAGGCAAAAATGAAAATGGATGGAGAACGTAATATGTTAGTCGGACCTCATTCGCCCCCGCACCCTATCCCCTTGCTTTCTTCAGGTCTGTCCTATGACAGACCCTGTGCAGGTGTTTAAACTGGATAACAGAATCTAATCAAATAGTAATAGATGAGAGAAAAGAGGGGTTTGAATGAGCTATTTTCTTGCTTAAATATCCTGGAATCTTTTTAGACACTCCATTTCGATTATATTCTGTAGACTTGTTCTGGGCACTGAATGGATGCCATAATATATTTCTGAGAGGTATTGTACAAATATAGCATAAAGCACTACATGCCTGAAATGTCAGGTGGGCAAAGTGTCTGTAGTCCTGTGTGAGGCTTGAAGTTGATCTTTGCAATCACAGCCCTTTCAAAGCAGTCAAGGTTAAATGTTTTCAACTCTAATTTCCACCATGGTTTTGGCTTCCTGAATGACCACCCCAAAGGCTGCCTCTGAAACAATGCACGATTCCTGGCTGTAAATGCAGTTTGAGAACATAAACACTTGTGTGTCCTGTGTGATTACAATCAAAGGGATTAAACCATTTTTCTTCTTTGTACTTTTGTTTTTCACAGAGCCAGGGGTTGGGTTAGGCATTGGTGCCTGTTGTCTCACGCTGGAAAATAGCTCTCCGGGGATCTACATTCACAGCCTGGCCCCAGGATCAGTGGCTAAGATGGATGGTAGATTAAGGTTAGTTATGAACTGAAAGCAAAAGCATGCTGGCTCAGTCTTACGGTGTCCTATAGACTCCTGCTTAAGTATTCATTTTCAGCAATGGGGTCAGTACTTAATTGCTGCAGTGCTTTATTTTTTTTGATCCATGGCTTAGATGATCACAGAAAAGTAATGAGAGAGTATAAGTTAAAGCAATTACAAAGTAGCATTGAAAAATAACTGAAGATTTCATGCTCATGTATGTGATATAAGCAGTGGCACAATCCGCAGGGAATGCCATTTTTAAGGTTCCAGACAAGAAACAGCTGAATAGAATAGATGCCTCATATTATGCCAGTTAGAAGTCAGCCCCCCGTTTTACATTCAGTTTTAGGAAAAACCAGCTTTTTTCCCTAAATATAAGTTGGTAACTGCAAATAAAGACTTGAACTGTTGTCACACTTAGAAAATTCTACAGGGGAAGCAAATAATCAGGACAAGGACCCCAAGAGTTAAAAGACACTAAACAAGCTAAAATAGAAGCTGCAGTGAATAAGGTTCTGATCTGATATTTTAACTGCATGCCCAAAAGTACTGCAAGTGCAGAAGTCGAGACTGATTACACTTGACTCTCTGTCTAAGCGAAGTGAGTATGATTTCTGTGGTTCTTTGGAAGCAAGAAATAGATATAATTGGAACAGTACATTATATCAAGCTTGGAAGCAATAGGAAAGGCAAGTTAATACTATGTGTCAAATCTGCACCCAGGGATTAGTGAACCCGGAGTAAACTTGCATAGGTTTGATTAAAATGTAGTCACTTGAAACATAATTGAAAAAGCAGCAGGGGTTTTGGACAGTATTTTGTTTTTGACCTTCCATTCTTGGTACATTTCTGGTAGCACGGTTGCTTGAAGGGTTGTGGGGGCATAATAGTGAAGATTTCTTGCTGTGTCCCAGAAGCATGAATTTGGCCATTGCTCTGTCTTTCTGCCAAAGACTGCCCCCACCAACCCATCTGCAAATAGGTATCTGGCCCATCGAGCTGAGGAGTCTAAGGTGGCTAGATATGATGCCGTCTACATCACGTGTGCCACCAACTACAGATACTGGAGTGCCTTACAGTGCTAGCCCAAAGGGCTGTCATTCTTAGGTAGGACTTTGTCCTTTTGCTGGCTACTTGATATAGCAGGCTGACATGTCAGTTGTGTTATTGCTTATAGGTTGTTAACAAGGATTATTCATACTGATTTACATTGTACTTTACTTTAGACTAGAAATTATTCTTTGTTCCACTCCAGGTTCCTGTACTTGGTTTAGGAGCAATTGGGTGAAATTCCCAGCAAAGCCCTCTTCTACATCCCTTCATTAGCAGTTCCATGGGCGTGACAAGCCCATAGCATGCCGTGGAGTTTTCTGTGCTGGCTCTGGCTCCACGTAGGTCATTCCAGAAGCCTGAAATACGGGAAGACCTACATGGATCCTTTTGCCCCAGTACACTGCCTGTCTGGTTTCACATTCAATTAATGGCATGACAGGAGTCCACCACAAAGTTATACATTTTTGCTTAATAACTTCATAGCTTATTTCTTGTTTTATCACATCATTAATTGCATTAACGTGTGGCCATGTAACAACTTAAGATGGGATTAACTGGTTAATCGCATCTTAAACGTAACGTGTGCCAGGAGCCCGCATACTGCCAGTACAGAAAAGCCATGCCACAGTGTTCTTGCTTAGTGGCCCTAGGCCAGTAAATAAAAGAGGGATTTCCCTACTCCATTCTCTGTACTCCATGTGTATAGAACATCAGTGCTGATTTCACCTATTAGGATGTCCTTGAAATAGTGACTTGGTCTCAGGAGGAGGAGGTAGGGTCTGTGTTCTGACTGCAACCCTGCAAAGATGCCCAAAAGTACTAGTAAAAAGAAATATCTTTTCTGTAGAAGACTGCATTTTAATATTAGCTTCCTTACCTTTGCAGCTGTTTTAAACGTTCTCCAGTAGTTGTCTCTGTAACATTCTGAACAAATTATTA